CTTCAAAAACAAATCAAAACATGCTTTTAAAACAGTACGGGCATTACCATAAATTACTTACCTCACTCCGCAAAACCGAGCACTCAATTCACGTACTAAACTGACAGAATGATCAAGAACCTAATCAAAATATCCACATTATCAGATATCTCCAAATTCGTTCTTATATCACAAACTAATCACTTAAATCCCCGTTAATTGTTGACTCTTGGGATGTGAACAGTGTTCTGTGAACAGTACACGCGAACAGTGTTCTGTGAACAGTACACGTGAACAGTGTTCTGTGAACAGTACACGTGAACAGTGCACGACATGAACAGCAACTCCGACTTTCACAAATTGGCCAAAACACTAGCTAATTCACGGGATTCTCTCTCCAAAATCACCACAACCCATTTCAAGCTAATTCACACTTAAACCAAGCTTAAAAACATAACTTAATGTACCAAAATTTTTCCCATTTCTCACGGCAGCACAGGGAGAGCATAACTTTGGCAAATCACAATTCACACACACGGGATTTTCACACAAAACATCACAGCAGCTAATTCAAGCTCAATTCTACTTAATCAAACTTAAAACACATTTAAAATGCTACTAAATGCTACCGGAATTCCTCCCCATTTCTGGCACAATTCGGACACACACAAGGCAGCAATTAAATGGCTAATTTAGGGCTTAAAGAAGTGGCCATCATACCAAAATTTTCCAGCAAGAACCGGACTTGGCAGGGAGAAGAAGAAGCCGGCGGCAAGCTGCAGGGAACTCACGGACTACCCAAAAATTTAGGGAAATAAACAGAAATTAGCATAACCCAGCCTAAATCAAGGTTAAAGAGATGATTTCTTGGCTGTGGCTTACCCGAAAATGCCCAGAAAATTGCACCCCCAACCAGTAGAAACTCACGGACCGAAGGGAAGAGGAAGGGAGAGCAGATCTGGAAATTTCTACTTCAAAGGGAGGGTTCTAGGTCCCAAAATCAGTTCTTTGACAAGAAAAGAAGAGAAAAATAGCAAGCTTTTG